CCAAACCACCCACATGAACGACAAAAATGCTGGAAAAATCTTACCTTAAGCTGAACCACCAAGAGTAGTTGTGGCTAAAGAACATTCTGAGATGCTCGGTAGAAAGGCATAAAAAATAGTCCAAATCCCAGAATATTAAAAGGGTGAAACCGAAAAAGACAAAAGAGGAGGCATTGAAATAAGCATAATCAATGCGCAGCCGTTTAGGCATTAACATACAAACGCTTGGCTATTTAATTGAGGCTATAATGTCAAAAAAATGGGGTCTTTCGGACATGAGCTCGGATGAGAGGGGAAAGGAAGAGACATGGAAAATTCCAATCCCCGAAACTGAAAGGGGGAAACAGACTCAATCCCAAAGGCCAGACATGGAGTCATTAATAAACCCATGTTTATGGCTGTTAAATTCAGGCATAAATGACAGCAAAATAATGGAGTTCACACCTGAGAGAGATGAAAAGGCAAGCTGGGAATCAGGCGGTAAAGCTAACAATATCACGAGACAACATCCAAAGAATACAAAAACTAATACCCAGATGCAAACGTGAAACTATCTGGAAAGCTCATGAAACATTAGGCAACAGTGGCCAAGAACAGCGGGAAAAAGGCTGTTCAAGTTACAGACACAAATGGTTGTCTGTGAGAGCGGCCAAGACTCATTTTAGACAATTTCAGCCAAAGCGCGAGTCCCAAACGGCTATCTGCGGCTCAAGAGCTGAACGTGTGCTGTGTAAAGGTCATTTCATTAATTACACAAACCCACATGCTTATATGAGTTGTACCAAAAGCAACAAATGGTTCCAGATTAATTGCACATACCATAAATACCCAAACACGCAACCACATTTAAAGTTTTAAATGTCTATAAAGGAGGCCATTTCGGTTAATATACCCAATCACAGGCTTTCCTGACTTGTGCCTTCAGCTTGCAAAACACTTCATAATATAAGGAATTTCCAAAAAGTCCCTACCTATGCGGTTGAAATTCAACCTTCTTTTTGACCAAAACTTAATCTTATATAGTATAAGGATATATTATTTTTATGTGGGTAAAATTGACTCACAATGTGGTGGGATCAATACATTAGTCTATAATCTAGCAAGATTTACCTGATGTGAATACAACCTGGCAACATCAATACATAACTCTGGGGATACAAGTAGGTATCGTAATTAAAAGATTTTTATGGAAATTAATTCAAGTTACCATCAAACAATCTCTCTTCAACCAATTAATTGACTCATGCCTTGATGCTGCAATTTTTTGCCATTAAACCAAAAACGAAAATGTGAAGGTTATTTTGCATGGCTATCGTTGGAGTAACGTGTCAAATGAATAATTATGGCAACTGAATCGATTAGGATATCTCCAAATACTTGGCCTTGTAGGATTATGGTGGGTCTTACCAAATCATTGAATTAGATCCACTGATAATCGAGGCCGAACAATTTTATTACACTCGAGGTGTATACAGTGACAACACTCACAAAACAAATTTATACTAGCTAACAAGCTTCCTATTTATAATAGTGAACATCCAACAATTATCTTCGTTTTCCTTTTCTTATTTAATGCCCAATTACTAGAAAATCCAGTGAAGTTTATGAGCAAATCTGGCTCGAGAAACAAGTATGACCCCAGTGCCTACAATTCCTACGTTCTGTTAAAGCTATTTTACTTTGCTATCTCTATAGCCAAAAATACATAAGATAGGCCTTTAGAGTAGTAGTCAAAAAGTATAGCTAACAATTTTACTTGGCTTGCAATATTTTACAATGTTGTACTATTTTAACACTCCCTCTCAACATTGACTATTCTCATAGTCATTCCGAACATCTCTCAAAATTTCACAAATTTGGAAGGACTTAAACTTTTTGTGAATATATCTACAACTTGGTTTTCTGTGTTGATATACTTCAAGTTAACTTCTCCTTGCAACGTCTTCTCTAGAATAAAGTGATAGTAGAGTTCAACATGCTTTGTCCTTGCGTGGAAAATTGGATTTTCAGCCATGCGAGTAGTGATCAATTGTTGGTGTAAATTCCTTATAAGTTGCATTGACCACGTACTTTCTTGTGCTATTAAAGCTGCTGCTCTATACTGCTTATGTATTGGATAATGACACTGTTGGCTGTTGTTTACTACATTAAAAATTGTGGCAGATCTAAGGCTGAACATGTAACCTGTGGTTGACCTCCTTGTGTCATGATTACTGGCATTGTATGATCATAATATCCAGTTACTTTGCAAGTTTGCCCTTTCTTGTACAATAGATCATAGTCAATGGTCCATTTAATGTATCTCAAAATCCAACTCACAGCTTCCAAGTATTTTTTTTTTGGATTTTGCATGAATCTACTCACGAGCCCAAATTGCATATGATATGTCATGTATAATCAAAGTGAAATAGATTAAATTATCTACCAACTATCTATATATGATAACATCATTAAGGTCTTTGCCCTATAGAACAATATCTGGCATTGACCTCTGTTCGAGTTGGAGTGTGTATCCTTATTTGCCAAGGACTTTTGCTCTTTTCTAGCTTGTTGGTTTTGGGCAGATCTCTCCTGTATCTTTTCTTCTAACTCCTGCGAATATGGCAACAGTAATGCCTGTAATGACCACCACAATGATGCCTCATTATATATCACATTTCGTGAGGCATAGCATTTTCTAGTTGTAGGGTCACAACAATTTCAGCCTTTTTGTTAATTATCACAGTCCATGAATATACAACAAATGGCTTTCTTATCAAACTTGGTTCAGAGATGATACGGCACAAACACATATCAAACATATCCAAATACTCTAAAATGAGTAACATTGGGTATAACATACCACAGCTTCTCGATTGAAGAGATACAATCCAACTTAGGCTGAGATAGTCTATTGGTCACATGGACTGCCGCAATTCTAGCCTTTTTGTTAATTATTATAGCCCATGAATAAACAATGCATGGCTTTCTTATCAAATTTGGTTCAGAGATGATATGGTACAAACACATAACAAACATACCCAAATATTTTAAAGTGAGCAACATTGCATTTAACATTCCATAACTTCTATATTGGAGAAATAAAATTCAACTTAGGTTGAATTAGTCTAGTGGTCACATTGAATACCATTTTCATACACTCAACCAAAAAATGTGGAGCACATTTTTGGCATGTAGCATACTTTTGCAAATCTCTGCGAGATGCCTATTCTTCTGCTCAACTACTCCAATTTTGCTAAGGTGTACCAGGAAAGGTCAGCTGACCTTATCTTGCATTCTTGCAAGAATCTGGTGAACTCATTTGATGTCTATTCACCTCATTGTCTATGTGTAGACACCATATCTTTCTGCCTATTTCTTTCTAGATCTTCTCCTTGAACTCTATGACTTTGTTCAAGGCTTCTGACTTTTCCTTCATAAAGTCACTCCAAACACATCTAGAAAAATCATTAATAAAGATAATCATGTACCCCATACCATGGTTTTTTCACTCAACCAAATATAGCTAAGTGAATTAGTTCTAGAGACACCTTTGCTCTAAGATTTGACTCCTCATATGGAAGTCGATGAGCTTTTCCATACTGGCAACCTACAACCTACACAAACAATGTCTTCTCAGACATCTAACTGGGAAAGTCCTATAAGCATCGACATCATCATCATGATCTTCAACTTGTGGTAATCATGTTAGACACCATTAATTGAGTCTCGTTCTGGAGAATATCTTCTTAAAGTCTCACTCTTGAGATATTTGCTCAAACACTCAATCAACAATTCTAAATAGTAAACACTCACGACTCTACTGGAAGTGAAATATATACAAAACCGACTACTTACCAACTCCTAAATAGAAATATACATCTTCTACCCTCTTTTTTTTTTTTTTTTTTAAGGAATTGGGTTGTCAGCCCCTTGTTAGGACTTAGGAAGCATGATTTAGATGTACCTAATACACCTTTCCTAATCAGCATCAGCAACTGTTTTCTACCAAAAAAAAGTTGCAATTGTTTTCTTAAATTGCATTATATAGGGATAATAATATGTCGATTTTTGCTCAGGCCTTGAGATTAATAATCAAGCAATTGAAGTATAAGACATTGATTGGGTATAGAAACAAGGGGTTCAATTGTTGCAATGCGGAGGGTTTAACTGCACTCGATATAGCTTTAGGAGATCCAAATGCGGAAGAGAATGGAAGCACTCCAAAAGCTTGGTGTTCTGTGGGTGAAGATTCATCACCCCGTTCAGCACTGTAAATTTAGCTTATTATTATGCTTTGATCCTGGCGAGATCGTTTCCCGGAACACTTTGTGGGAAATATTTCATAGCAGTATTTTTTCTCTGTCTGGCGAAACGCACAGCGCGGTGATCATGGTGGCCTTGCTAATCATAGCAGCCACTTATCAAGCTATTTTAAGCCACCGAGAGGATTGATTTCTGGAATTACTGATATAAGCAGTGGTCCAACCTCAAACCGCACTGATGTAGGGCGCCTATTTGCACCGGTACCATTATCCCCGAGCCCAGACGTGGCTTTTCGGTTTCTTAATCTTTTAACGTTTAACGCAGTGCCATTTTTGTCGTCGCTTTTCACCATTTATTTTCTATTTCAAGCAAATGACCTGTTGAATGGTATTCTGAATTTGTCATTACTACATTTTAGTGTATGCTATACAATTTCAGCTCTTATCGTAACACCATCTGCGGCAGCAGGACTCATTGGTGCCATAACATTTGGTGCAATGCTCGACTTGGTGGATATGGCAATTCTTGCCACGGAAAGTTACTCATTATGCAATTCTAAGCGAGATCGAAAGTACCGCTCCAAAGGGAAACCAGTAAGAAGGGGGGATAGAGGTAAGAGTGGGAGAGAAGACATGTCCGTACAAGCAGAGAGACAGCAAAATCAGAAGCAGCAGCTGTGGGGCACCTGACGAATTGTATGAGCTAGTAATTGGGATTAACACTTGACAATTCAATCTGTTTGACGCAAATTTGCTCTAGCAGTATATGAATCGATTAACATTTACACCAGCCTTTGCTCTAGCAGAAATCTTGATTGGAGAAAGATATATGATCAACAATAACTATATGTGGGAACTGAAACCAAATTGTAAATCGGATATCATATAAATTAGAGCAAATTATCTGAATAGCCACTAAACTTTTTCAATAATGAAGATTTGGCCATTAAACTATTAATGGTACGTTTTTACCCACTGAACTATCAAAAGTATAAAATTCGACCGTCTAATTCCACCATTAATTTTGCTAGATATAAGAGTCCACACGATTTATGAGACATACTATTAATAGTTATATATGGTAGAATCAACGATAAAATTAGACAGAATGAACCGAAATTATACTTTTAATAGTTTAATGGGTACAAACATACTATTAATAGTTGAGTGGCCAAAACTCGACTATTTAAATAATACAGTGATTACTTTAATAATTTGCTCTATAAATTACGATTGGACTTGCATACATCCAAAAAAGGAAAAAGACCTTAACTACTACAACTTCACCACTTAAAAAAAAAAGAAATTCTGTAAATGTGGAAAAAGGTGAACTAACTAAAACGAATTGTTGTCTAGCTATTGCATGGATGAATAAAACAAGTCTTCAAACACGTTTGACAAGATCACGACTTCTGTCCGACTGCATGGAATGCTCACATCGAGCTATCTAATCTCTCTCGCGAACCTTGTTGTATACATATTGGTACCAAGGAGACAAGCAAACGCCGCCGTTGTATGTGCAAAACTCATCGCAGAAGCTCCGGAATGAATCATACTTAAGCAGAAAAACAGATAAAAAGGGGTTCGGAGGAAGGAATTACAAGGCAGAAGATCAAGCAAGATAACTATTATTACTTCTATTTCTTATATACGCAGAATTTTCCATGATGTCCCTAGTAGAGTCGGAAAAGGATTGAGTTTAAATTCAATCAGGCTTAATTGATATTGATTGTTTGTTTCCTTTTTCTCTTTTTGGAAAGAGAAATAAAGCAATTTTTTGCTCTATTTGGGTGTATAACGATAACGGTAAATTTTATCTTAGTCCAAAGTAACTACCAATTGAGCTTTTGACCAATAAAAGTGTTCCAAATAAAATTACAAAGTACAATAATTCGATATTAAGGCCGATTAAGGTTGTAGAGTCCTTATTTATCTATTCTCGTACTTTCGAATATGGTCAAAACTAATGATTGAGGAAGTTGGTCCAAATTGAAGTAAAGTTTCTTTGTTTACCCCTCCGATATAAAATTTTTTAGGGTTAAAAATAAAAAACCCCTTGTGGTATATCTAATATACAGAAAAGTCCCCTTTGTTTCAAAATATATAACACCTCATGTTTTGAACTAAATTGTAAACCAACAAAATTCGTTAAATTTAACGAAAATGACGGTTTCGGCCGTTAAACTTATCAGATTCCGTTAAATTTACCGGATTCCGTTAAGTTTTCCGTTAAATTTACCGGATTTCGTTAAGTTTAACGAATTTTATTAGTTTACAATTTAGTTCAAAACATGACGCGTCGTTTTGTATATTTTGAAATCACGGGGGCTTTTCTATATATTAGATATACTACAGGGGACTTTTTTGTTTTTAACCCAATTTTTTATAAGATAATGATCAACATATTGAAACGCCATGTAACAAGGGCAGAATACTTGCCTTATTTTCTTGGCAACTTTGTGAAATGGAAATAAAATTTTTGATAAGATAATGATCAGCGTATTGAAAAGTCATATCCATCTGGGAATAGCAGAATACTTGCCTTATTTATTGACAACTATCTATTCAATCAGGAATTCTACAGCTTTTCTCCATAGTTATCTATCATTTACTCACTAAGGCTTCTAAAATTATCTGATCACGCTGCAATGTGTGTGTGTGTGTTTGTCAAGTAAATAAACATATTGAAAACTCAAATCCGTTCGGATGCTATACAATGAATCAAATTCCCTTGTACTGAACATTTGGATAGTATAGCAGTGTAAGACGAATTGCAATTTGAACACTATGATAGTGTAGAATGAAACAAAAATCTCTATTAAAGATTATAATGGAAAGATTGTAACGGTTAAACAAATGATCCGATCACTTAGTCAATTCAATTTTAAACTTAATTAAGGTCAATGTAGAGGAACCTAATTCTGTAATATCCCATCTAATATAGCCTATATTTTCACTATCCTTTTTTTTTTTAAGAGGATCAATAATGACTCCTCCCATAGTCCCAAACGAAAAGAGTTTTACCAAAATCAAACTATGCTTCATTGTCACTAGCATTTTCTATAGGGCCACATGCGGGTTTGAAGTATTTACAAATGGTAGTCAAAGAAATTCAAATTACTTGGACAGTGTTAGAGGAATTTCCTACGATTTAGGAGTACTTATTCAGAATTTGCTGCAGAAGTACGCTTATGACACCAGATGCTGAGAATCTTAGGAAACACCCCAAAAAAAATAGTAGCAAAGAAAATAAGATCAAACTTCAAATTTCTAACTAAACTCGCAGAGGTCCTTTATAGTGGGCTTAAGAACTGAAAAAACTGCATGCCATCCTGCTGTTGGGTGCGCATTATCCCAAAAGAATGCATGTTTGGGTTTTCTACAAACTGTATACATTTGTTTTCCATTGCTATCCACATCTCCACAAGAATAATTTGCTATCCCTTGACAACAAGGAGTTAATGGAGCTTCTGCATGCAATTTTGCTGCATCAAACCCCAAAAAAAAAAATATTTGTTATCACTACTTCACGAATAGGAAGAGCACACAACAACAAGAGAAGGCCCTTCAAAAAAAAAAGGAAAAAACCATTGTGCAAGTTGTTTTCTTGAGAAGAGATTTTTAGACTTGAACTGAGGTAATAACGCACTCTTACATAGTAGCATTGTGTTCTACGGAGGAAAAAAGAAAGAAAAACAGGAAAAGCAACCATATTCTGGCATAAAGATTTGTGTTAAAAGACGTACATGTAGTGAAAATATAAACTTAAAGCTTGTCTAAGGACTACTGTATACTATATTTTTTTTTTTTTTTTAAAAAAGACTCCTTTATATAAGATTAGGTTTTTTCTAGATAAGCACACCCAAAAAAAGTAGACCTATTATAAAATTCTAAAAATATCCTTACTCTTTTTTTTGATAAGTAAGAAGATTTGAATTCAGAACCTCTTACTTATGACTCTTCCTACCTTAATTACACCCGACCCTACCTTTCCCCAAATATCACTCTTCCTTACTTCTTATTTCACCTGCACTGCACGTTTTTGCTTATAATTTTCAATTTTTGGCCCCATTTTTTATCCGCATAGAATAAAAGAATCCACCAAGATAAATCCTAGATAATTGAACAGGGTGAACATTTTGAAAAACAGAAGAAACAACACGATCAAGAAAGTAAGATAAATCACCTTTGCGATCTGAACATGTTGGATAATTGCAGTGAATGCAGCATCAAGATCAAGAATCTCGAATTGAGTCGATAAGCTCTCATTGTTCAGCTGTGCCACAGAATCTGCTAGAATGGAATTATGTAGTATAGACGCCATGTTTGCGGTGTCATTACATTGTTTGAAACCACTGCTTATTGTAATTACAGGTACACATCCTATTGGTGGCAGCGACCCCAGTGCTATTCTCTTCACTCCTAACTCTGAAATGCGTTTTCAAGATCGCTACAAGTTTTTGCACCACACCAGGGATGAAAGTATTTATGAGATCCTGTGAATGAAAAACTGTGTTGTAAAACCATAATCATGCATCAAATTCATTTGCCACTGGTTGTTGTGTTACATCATTTATTAATTTCTTTTGGTACCCTTACATTTTGTATTTTACAAGAATATAAACAAAGGTGTACCCAAAAAATATACATGATTCCACATGGGTAAAAGCTCAATTTCCAGAAGCGGAAAAAATTATACATGTATCTTAGGGCAGCAGGGTAAAACACAAAGAGCATTCAAAAGTAAAATAGGAGTACCAAAGATTGTAGCATATCTACAAGCATTCTATTTTTTTACCCCTAAGTTAGAGGGAGATTTCAAACCTTACAAAAATGGAGAGAGAAATGGAAGAACTTGAGAATCTTTAGACTTATGCAAACACTTTTCAAAAATTATGGTACTATTCTAGCTTGACTTGACAACAAATTGATTAATCTCCCAAATCCAAACCTTTTTCCCTTCTTTCTCCCTAAATGTTAGCCACATCCCTACGTTTCAGATACTCATCCTATCATCCAAAACCTCTAAAATCTCATTTAGATATCCATTGCTTCCGAGAATAGATTCTAATGCTACTTACTTATCTTTTTTAAAAAACAAAAAAAAAATATGAAGTTCAAAGGGAAATACCATAGATAAATTCAGATTAATTTATGAATTTTCTATTTTAAAATTAACTTGAACTAAGCTAAACCTATGAAAATGGATCGAGTATCATATATAATGCTCCAAAATCGAATGGTTCTGATATATTGTAATTTTACCAAAATGGTGCCTCCTCTTGCTAAAAAAGCAGAATAATCGTTGCCTGAAAGAGTAACTAGAGTCAAAGAGTGTTCAAGGTCGCATTTTGAGTACACAACTTTCTTGATGAGTTCTTCAAAAAAATCAACTTGGGTGCTGAAATTAGGCACTGAAGACAATGTTTTGCCCACACCAGCCCCTCCAAAGGCAAAATTTATCCCATATTGCAAATCCTTCTTCTGTGCATTCCTCGTTCTATATGGCACTGGAGACTTTAGTCCTAAGAAATCCGCTGCTCATTCCAAAATATACCCAACCAAAACTCAGTACATCATGCAGAAACCAGCATGGAGAATATGCTAATGTCAAAAAACTCATATCATCTAGTTTTGAGAGAGTTCTGCTTAAAATTTATGCATGGAAAAGAAAAGTCTTGGCATTAACTGCGATACATTTCAAAATGGTAAAATCCCATCTTTCACCAAAAAAACTTATCTACACAAATAAATTAACATAAGATATTTGTAGCTAAGCTGGAAATAAATATTATGTAGTTGACTTACCAATGAAATCAGTCAGGATATGGCCGTCGGAGAATCGGCCGTCTGGCTTGCCTGGAAAAGTCAGTCCATAAGGTTTGTCCTTCCACATTTTTGGGAGATTTCCAGTATCAGCATAGGAGTCTCCGATAACAAAGAGCTTTTCAATCCCATAATTATTTTTACGTGATGATTTCTTACGATAACGTGAACCTTCAACACCAAATTCTCCTGCAAAATGTGATAAATATCAAACTCTTGTACAAGAATCTTATACAATCCCTACCTAAAAGCTAAGACAATCCCGAGGTTAAGAGTCCTTTTCGTCCATGAAAAGAATTGTGAAGCTCATATAGAGCTAGACGTGAATTTATAAAAGATTCTGTAATTTACCTGAAAATGTACCGTATATCAGTGTTGCAGACAGGAAAAAGAGTTGAACTTTCATGCTGGTGTTGTTTTGAGGAAACGAAGAAAGATAACAGTCATTAGGAATCTTACCCTTTTATAAGTTCGTTTTGGGGTGGATTTTTTGAGTAATGCTAAAATAAATCAGATTTAAATTCAAATATAAACGTTATCAATTTTTTTTAATTTTTACTTATTATTATTTTTTGTATGTGAGAGATCTTGAATCCAAAATCTCTTACTTACAACCTTTCTCACTTTAACACCCAACCCAATCCTCCACCTATCACTCGAATGTTATGTTGAGAAAGCTTGCTTATTTTTAAAATAAAAAGGAATAAGAAGAAAAAGAATGAAAAAATAATTTTAAAAGTCATTCTAAGTATAAGAATACCAAACAAGGGAAGTGCATTAAAATATTTAAGGGTAGTATTGTCATTTTAAATGACAAGAGAGGTATGTGTAATTTTAAAAATCTCGAGGGAGCTAAATGAAATTATTAAAAATCTCAAGGGAGGTTTTTGAAAATTATCCCTCGAAACTAAAGTGGGACATATTTTATGCTTTAAGGACTAAACCAAATTTTAAATTTTAAACACTAAAGTGACCCATTTTGAAGCCAAGGATGTATTGGACTAATTCATCTGGATGGAAGATATATAGGAGCATTGTTTTCTTAGATCTATTATATTTATCGATTTCAGATCTACATGTATTTGTATTTTCTACTATTAGTGCAGATTTGTTTGAATAAAATGATCTTTTCTATAAAAAAAATATTAAAAAACATATTACGTAAAGTTGTTGCACTATTTTTTTGGTGCATTGAGTCAATCACAAATAGATTTTCCATTAACTTTTTATTTTCCTAATTTCACACACATCAAATTACAAAAGTATTATAACAAATATTTTAAATAATAATATTCAATCCAAACACACATGGTTTATTTGGATTGAATATTATCTGAAAAAATTCTAGGTATCATTTATAGTAACATTTTTTGAATGTGATATATATGTGACGAAAAAGTAGTTCAAAAACATAATACTGTGAATATTAAAAAATTTATTTTCCAAATGATCTTATCCAAAAATTTCTTGACCATGTTCATAGGTTTTTTAAGTTTCGTGCTTTAAAATACATAATAAGCACACAAAATAAAGAAATGAATCCATTGTTATATACATTTCAAACGTTATCCTCCGTGCGTCAATTACGTAAGCAGTTGCTTACAAAATATATTGACTTCTCATCCTTATTCTCTAAGGGTTAAAAATAGAAGAGCCAACATTTGTATATCTTGACTTCTTGATTAGTAGGTATTGTAATTATAAGATTTTCATGAAAATTAATTCAAGCTACCATTAAACAATCTCTCTTTAATCTAAGGAGAGATGGATTTAATGACATGGAGAAAAGAGTGTAAATGAAAAGTGACGAACTTGAAAGTTACACCATCAAAAAAGGGAAAAAACTCTCATCAATCAAGATGCCCTGATGGTGCTTTACCATCGAACCAAAAACAAAATTGTGAAGGTTCTTTTGCATAGCTATCATGGGTGCAACGTGTCAGTTTGTGACTGTGGCAAGTGAATCTATTGGGATGTCACCAAAGATTTAAATAGTTGGCCTCCCACTGAAATGAACACTTGATTCAACATCATTCATCGAGCTTGCTAGGCTTCATTTCCTCCACTAGCTTCTGAAAAATGTCGGCAGCAGCATCAGTAGAAGCCATTGATCTTATAGACTATGTAATAAACCAAGGCAATGGAGTAAAGGGTCTTTCCAAATTAGGCCTAAAAACCATTCCTCACCAATACATCCAACCGCCAGAAGAAAGGCTAGACCAGAACCAAATAGTTGATGAAGAGTCAATACCAATCATTGATGTATCCAACTGGGATGATCCGGAAGTTGTTAGTTCAATCTGTGAGGCTGCTGCCAAGTGGGGTTTCTTTCAAATTGTTAATCATGGCATCCCACTTGAGGTTCTTGAAAATGTGATGGAAGCAGGGCATAAATTCTTTGAGTTACCCAGTGAGGAAAAGAGGAAGTATTTGAAGGAAAATTCACCTACTCCCACTGTTCAGTTGAAGACTAGCTTTAGTTTAGCAGAAAAGGTTTTGGAGTGGAAGGATTTTCTCATGCATTGGTATTTCCCAGATGATGAAAGTGTTAATCTCTGGCCTGCTGTGTCCAAGTAAGTTCTTAATTTCATGGATCCTTTTTATTTTTCAGCGATTTACTGGGTAAAACTTGGGTAATTATTATTCAATGAAGAAGCAGAGAATCATCATGAATTTGGATTTTGCATTTAGATGTTTATCCTGATTCTTCTTAACATGGTGATTAACTGCTTTAGTTTGTTTGTTATATAATTAGCTTTGGAAAATTTTTATTTGTTCAAATCTATAATAGTGGACTCTGACAGTTAATAGTAGTGGGATGGAATGGAACCAATGGTTAGTTTTATGAATTGTCTAATTATGCAAATTCTGTAATTATGCATTCCATTTGGATACAAAAGCATGACGAGTTTGCCTGAGTTGTAATGTTAGATTGAGGAAAAAATATATCCTATCCGTTAAAAGAGTAACAATGAATGTTCAATATAACTTGCACTGTTGTTTTATTTGCACCAATTGTTTTGACACTTTATAGCAGCCTTATTGATGCTTTCATGGTCTTATTCTTGTGTTTGTTGTTCTTTATCTTGTCATAGTAAACTTGACATAGCTATATGTCAATAACTTACAATGAAAAATGTAGAATTGAGAGAACAGAATAAGCAGCAGACATGGAACTAAGAAAGCGAAAGAAAGAATGAAGAAGGAGAAAGCTAAAGACTAAACCTATTGTGTTTCAATGTGCTTTGAATATTCAGTTACAGGCCTCTATCCTATTAAACTGGAGAGGATTCTTCAATCAATATCCTTTGTGCTATTTAGCTTAACCTCAGATGTGGAACTCTGATAAGATGGTATAAGTTTTGCAGATATGCTGGTTTATGGCCATTAGTTTAACTTATGCCTTTTTGTTTTTTTTTTCTGATTCATGGATGAGGACAATGAAAATTTCATCAGAAAATTGAGAATCATATTCTGTTTCATGTAACTTTCAAGCACTATTTATATAAGTCCTCTCTTCAACAAACTGGTAGTTCCTATGGACTTTTATTAACAGCACCAAGTTAACCAGATAGAGTTCATAGGTACTACTGTACTTCTAGTGTAATTGGTTAACTACCCTTTGTCATGTAATCTATTGAGCATGAGAAAACATGAGATATTGTTCTTTTAATGATATTAGGCATCCATTCTTGCAAAGATCCCTTTATAGTATTCCTGTGAAACATGAAGAAATATTTAAGGTGTTTAATGAATCATAGTAGCTTCGAAAATGTTACAGCAGAAAAGACTGAACATCACTAAAGTTAGGGAAAATCAAATTTTTAATCTTCCTGGAATTCAAAATTTGATTCCACCCAGAAACTATGAGTGGATCAGACATCTAGATACTACATTTTCTTCTGCTTTATGTCATTGTAGTTCCACTTTATTTGGTGTCAGTAATTGTCCTTGATTGTGGTTTTCTGATTTTTATGTTTCCAAGATCTCCGTCATTCTGGTGGCAAATTATTTTTTTCTTACTTTTTACAGGATCAGGTGTTGGAATACATAAACTGGGCAAAGCCTGTAATCAGAAAGCTACTAGAGGTGCTATTGAAAGGGCTTAATGTGAAGGAGTTCAATGAATCAAAAGAATCTCAGCTTATGGGTGCTCTTATTGTCGACCTCATGCACTACCCCTTGTGTCCAAACCCTGAGCTTGCTGCTGGAGTTGGTCGTCATGCTGATATCTCAACCATCACAATCCTTCTCCAAGACGATGTAGGTGGCCTATATGTTCAGGGAACAAGAGCTGATCAGTGGATCCATGTAACACCAGTCAAAGGGGCACTCGTGATTAACATAGGCGACATATTACAAATTGTGAGCAATGACCGTTACAAGAGCATTGAGCATCGTGTGATTGTTAACAAAAGTAGAAATAGGGTTTCAGTGCCAATCTTTCTGAACCCTAAAGATGATGCAGTTGTTGTTCCTTTTCCTGAATTGCTGGAGAGTGGAGAAAAACCAATTTATAAGAATGTTGTCTTCTCAGATTACTTCAACTTCTTCTTCAGCAAAGGCCCTGAAGGAAAGAAGACTCTGGAATTTGCAAAGGTATGATGTACTTCCAATTCTATGAGGCTTAGGAAGTTGCAATACAATGAATTTGGGCTATAATAAGGATGCAAGGTGTTCTACCATGCAAGGTGAGAAATGAATGCTGTCTTTACTGAGGTTCCATTGCTTGTCCTATCTGTTTCTCCATTCCATAAGAAGGAATTCAAAAGTGATTGATTTTGTTTCTTTATGAAGATATGTAATGATGTTAGATATACAATTAGACAGATTAGCCTGAAATCATGAAGTGGAAGATGTATATGTAAGTTCTTGGGCACATTTCTGATGGGGAGTAGACCATCAGATTTTTCATGAAGTTGTATGTATGTTCTTCCTCACTCTTTGTTTTTTCTTTATTCCCTGCTTTCTTGTCATTAGCATACTGTTTTGGCGTTAGATGAGCTTATGCCCTATTCTCTACTGTATATGTTGTCATGGGCAATGCCCCTTTTTCCTTGTGTAAACCATTCTTAATAATCAAGAAAATTTTTGATGTTTTCTTAAAATATAGGTATGGGGGAGAGAGTCAACAGATTAGTAACTATTGCCAGCTGCTTATAAATTTAAGATATGGGACTGTGTTTAGATGGGATCCCTGCCTTCTCCTACCTGTTTCCTACGAATTAAATTGAAGTCATTCACTTTGTTATCATGTTAGAAATTGGAACTTGCTTGTTGCTAGATGCACCTTATATCAGGCGTGTGAATTTGGAAGACTGAATAGTGATTTTTGAGCTCTAAAAGATCCACTTGAAACCATCAAAGTGGAAGTTGTAGTCAAGTTTCAATTGGGATTCCACGAAGGAAACCTTTTCTATATTCATGTTCAGCATTTTTCTTTACCTGTTTCTGGAAAGTAAATTGGATGTTTTCAAGATGCAAGTTACTGACTTTAACATAATATGCTTCTCAGCCTCTTCTGAATCAGCCAAATCCACCATCTTATTTTTCAAGTTTACCTCAACTGTTGGAGCCTTCACTGGAGCAGCAACCTGTTATCAAAATGGCCTTGTACGCTAAACTTATACAGAAATGGGATGCTGTCATAAGGCTGATAAATCTTTGAAAGCATAGCTTACAAAAGAACGTATAATTTGAGCTAACAAATGTACAATCACCTCTTAAATACATTTCTAAACAGTCAAGGAGAGTAATACAATGCATCCAATATGTCTATTGTTTTGCTACTAAAGGCTAGAAAACAGTTGTTCATATATTTGAAGTACTTCCAGTTATGAACCTGTGCATCTCTGGCTTTTGCTTGTCATTTTTTCATGTATCTTTGGAAAGAGACGATTTTCTTGAATCTTTGAAGATGTCATGTTAAGGGCAAGCATGGCAGATACTATCTTTTGTGGTTTATTTGAAAAAAGTATCACCGATGCTAATCGCAAGAAAAATTATTCAATGGATCTTATATCTGTTTGACTCAAATGTTTGTAATGTAAGCCATAATTTGGAAAAACGGATAATGTAGGCCAGTATACTGAATTTCTAACTGTTGGAATGGGTAGTGCTTAACCAAACAGTGGGACAGAGCTTTGCATACTTTGCTTCTGTAACTAATCAGAGTCCTTATGTGAAGCATGATTGAATCTAAAAGGAGTGAGAATTTTATGTTGAAATTGAGAGTGATTTTCTGTCTCATGAAACTTTTAGGATGCATCATCTGGATTTTTTTCCCTTATGGACACTACTTTCGGCTATAGTTCAGTTTAAATCAGTTTTATTTGACTCTTCTGCATTATTTATATCTGTCTGCGGTATTCTAGGCTAACTAGTATTTGTTAGTGCTACTCTAGACATCATGTATTGGGATAGATGAAGTGTGCTACTAAAATATGAAGGTATTGCAATGTGAAGAGCTACTCAAGGGATTAAAATGTGAAGGCGTTTGATGAAGCAAAAAGAATCTCTCCTAATGTACGCTTTTACTTTCAACCATATTTTCTAACCATTTTGTCCAAATCCTGAACTGACTTATGGAGATAGCCATCATTCTGATATTTAGATCATCAGCATCCTGCTTCAGGATGACATAGGAGGTTTTTACATGCGAGGAACAAGAGTAGATCAGTGGATCCATCTTAGAATTGTGTGCAATGATAATTGTGTGCAATGATCAATATTGGTATCTTAAGCATCGCAACACTATTAATGTAACAAAAAACTGAGTGTTCTTTCGCCTACCATTGTCAACCCTGCAGCTAATGCAGCTGTTATTCCTTTATCAGATATTCTACAGAATGGATAGAAGCCAATTTATAAGGATGTCGTCCGGTTGGATTAGTAATACTTCTTCTATACGAAAGGACATGAGGGAAAGTAGACAATTTGGTTTGCTGAGTTGTGATGCTAAGGTTTATGAAAGATGGATTTGGAGGATTGAGGCTGAGCTTCGCATACCTAAATTATCTGCTAAAGCTCACATGCCAGCCCAAAGGGCACCCTTTTCTACTCACAGAAATCCGCAAAGTTTGAAACGAAGTTCTAAATAAGCTTCGTCACAGATTACAACAGATAAAGGCAACACTCCTGTAAGTACTATTACATAGAATATCAACTATACCATTTGTTCCTTGTTTCGGAATGGCTTAACTTCTGAAACAGTAGGAATAACTGCATTTTAGTGAATATATAGACAAATATTGTGCAACATATATCCTCAATACCTGTTTAATAGATTTTTTTTCTCTCAGATTAGTTCAAATTCATTGCAGTGAGGACAAGTAGACAAGAGAGTTGCCTAGTTTACAAATATATCCTGTTCAAGGAAGCTTATAGAAGATGTCATTAATTTATTTGGAGCTGTTATGGGAATGCAAAGGTAAATTAGAAACATGTTGAACCTTGAGCAGGTTTAAAGTAATAATAAATCCATATATAGATTGTGTGAGATATGTAACATTTTCTTCTTTGGGAGGTATATTGATTCAATCAAAAGAACAAGGGGCAATGTGCAAATGGGGTGAAATGCAAAGGATTACTTGAATTACCCAAAGCCGAGTGACATGTAACAGCTTCTGTCACCAAACTATCACAAGAAATTGGACTGACTCCAAAACAAGTATACAAGATAATAAACAATAAGTCTTCCCAAAAATTTCTCACTCAAAATGGATGATACGCAACTGCTGTAGAGTAGTGGTACAGTAGTGGTTCGTGAGATCCAAATCTCTGATCTAGAACTGTACTGAAAACTATTCTTGCGTTCTTCCATGGCTATTAATAAGAAAATACCAGACTCTGCTTGATTTTGGAATTTCAATAATTAGTTTCTGAAATGTCAGCAGCGTCTGTTGAATTTGAACTCACTGATCTCATAGACTTTGCAGTAAACCAAGGCAATGGGGTCAAGGGTCTATCCAACTTAGGCATAAAAACCATCCCTCAGAAATACATCTTACCCCCTGAAGATAGACTAAATCAGAACCAGATAGCGCAAGATGAATCAATAGCTGTCATTGATGTATCTAACTGGGATGATCCAAAAATTGCAGCCTCAATCTGTGAGGCTGCAGCCAAAAGGGGTTGCTTTCAAATTATCAATCATGGCATCCCACTTGAGGTTCTTGAAAATGTAAAGGAAGCTAGGCACAAGTTCTTTGAGTTGCCAGATGAGGAAAGGAGGAAGTATTTGAAGGAAAATTCACCTACTCCCACTGTGCAGTTGAAAACTAGCTTTAGTCCTCTTGCAGAAAAGGTTTTGGAGTGGAAAGATTATCTTACGCATTTGTATATTCCAGATGATGAGAGTTCAAAATTATGGCCTTCTGTGTCCAAGTAAGAAGTTAATTTCTGCCACCATTTCTTGTTTTGCTTCTTCCTATATTCCAAGAAGCAGAATTATGTAGAGTGCAGTCCATTATCATGATATATGTGTTTTCTCCAATTACATTTCTATGCAGATTCTTTTAGAAAATATCTTTCGGTTAGGTATACATGGTTTAGTTGTTTCTTTAACAACTTTGATCTTAATCAACTCAAGAACTATAATCAGGGGAAATAAAAAAGCATTCGTTTAATATATCCTCTTGTATTTTGATAGCTGATGATCAATCGACACAATCAATCCATGCCTACCTAGGGTAATATGTGATAACTGAAGTAGTTAGATTTCTGTTGTATTGGTATTGAAGAGAAACATGCAATTTGGCAAATCATCATTGCCTAGTTGTACAATCTACGCTCGTCACTAAAAAAGAAATTATAAGGATAGCCAGTATATAAAACCTTAGATGAAAAGCAGTCTGCTTTCTCTCAAGCTTTATCCAGATTGTGATGTTTCCCCTTCAGTGCTTTACCATGCTAACAAATTAGAATACATGATTACTGCATACAGAAGACTACAAAGTTGAGCTGACAGAATAAGAATTTGATTATGAAACTAAGAGAACTTAAAGTGATCGAGAAAGAAGCTATTTGATGAATAGAATAACAGCATGATAATTAGATGAAGGGACTTGTAGTAGAACCAACCCTGATGGATTAACTGCTTTTCAGACTTTGAAAAACCCTTTCATATAGCTTTTACTGTAATCAGCTACTGTAACACCTGCTGGAAGGTCCAGAATTGAAGAAACTTTCCTACGTGTTGCGTTTCTGTTGTCGGCAAGTACTACCAAGCTAAAAGTCAATATTGAAGCAAACTACAAGAGGCTAGTTGCTTTAAGCTTATGGAAGTGCTGCCTTATCTATTGATTGAGAGCAGAAGATAGCTAAGGGGATCTCCAACGGTTGTCAAAAGTACTAGTTTGATTCTCTTTGCAGGGTGTAAAATTAAAATTATCAAAAAATAAAAAGTTGAATGGAAAAGCGACACAGAAGAGTGAGTCTTGAGTTTAAGAAGCTTTTGTGGATGATATAAAATGACCCTGGATTCTGTAGGCTGCCGATGTATTCCACTGAATAAGATTATCGAACTCTGAGCTTTATAAAGGGAATTAATCGAACCCAGAAGAAACTGAAAGCTGCTGAATTCCAAACAATTTTCTACTGAAATTGAGAACGACTTTCCAGAGTCTATGCTATGTCCTGCCTTCAATATCTTGATGAAGGTCAGGGACCTTCGTACTATGCACATCATTAAGTAGATAGACCTGAAGAGTAACTCTGCACTTTCTGATATTTGCCTTTTCTCAAATACTGCATTGTAGTATAACTGGTCACTGCTATAACTTATGGGGATCCTATCTAGTGTAGAACATAGGAACTCTTACTATGGCATTACCATCAGCCATCAAATCCTAATACACCTACCTCTTCGAGATGCACCCTTTATTGGCCAAGATTCAATGGGAATCACTCTGTTCAAAATTTCAAGCCTGAATCCAGTGATTATACTAGTATTCGCTCAGCAAACAGCAACAATAACGCCATGTAATACTGGCTCAGACATTGAGAAACAGACTCTGCGCATTTCTATGTCTTGCTTCTATTATGTTCATATGTCAATTATATCTATTTCTGTTATCTGCATCTTGTTAGCTAACTATCGAAATTTTTTGTTTGTTATAGAGATCAAGTATTGGAGTACATTAAGTGGGCTAAACCAATAATTAGAAAGCTACTTGAGCTGCTTCTAAAGGGACTTAATGTCAAGAAAATTGATGAAACAATAGAATCTCAACTCATGGGTTCCCTCTATGTCAACCTGGTTTACTATCCCGTTTGTCCAAACCCTGAGCTTGCTTCTGGAGCTGGTCGACATTCTGATATCTCCGCCATCACTATCCTCCTTCAAGATGATGTTGGTGGCCTTTTCGTGCAAGGAACAAAAGCTGATCAGTGGATCCATGTAACACCAGTTAAAGGGGCACTGGTAATCAACATAGGTGATGTACTACAAATTGTGAGCAATGATCGTTATAAGAGCGTTGAACATCAAGTCACTGTTAATGGAAGGAGAAACAGGGTTTCAGTGCCTATATTTGTTGACCCTGCAGCTGACACAGTTGTTGGTCCATTTCCAGAAGCCCTGGAGAGTGGAGAGAAACCAATTTATAACCATTTTGTCTACTCAGATTACTTCAACTACTTCT